AAAAATTATGCAAGAGTCACCAGAGCTATGGAAAGCTGAACATGAGAGTCATCACACAGGATATTGCATGAATGATGTAAAGAATGTTGCACTACGCAAAGAGAGCCGGGAAGAATGTCATACTAGACATTCTCCCAACCCAGATTTTCTGAAGAAGAGCATATTGTAAATTTCAGGTCAGATAAGTCTATATTAATACTCTCACTTTTTAATAACTTTGTTTTGCCAAGCTCTGTAAAGAAATCAGACCTATTTTCTAGGTCATGGAACTTCAGCAGGTGCATCTGAATTCTGCATTCACACAACCCAGCATTTCTCCAGTTTATGAAACAAACAAACATTTTTAAAAAACCCACTAGGTAAGCAGAGAACTCAGTGAAGAACTTTATTTCCTGATCAGGACATAAAACACATTTGAAATGTTACTGCTAAGATGGGTTACTCACTAGCAGCAAGAGAAAATTGTGTCTTACAGAACATAAAGAAGGCTTCAGCCATAACTTGGCTTTGTTCTGATCACACACCTGCCCAGGCATTGCTGATACTGTTCACAGCTGTCACACCTTCCAAGAGATCTGGTGAACACCATGAGAAGCATATCTCTGGCAGTGAACTGGAATGTGTAGAAAAGCAAAGCACAATGCTAATTATCTCTTAGCACAACTTCTATCTCAGGAAAATAACACCAAAAATTACAGAAAATAGAATATTTCAAGCTAATAAGTAGGAAAATGAAGCTTCAAGTATCTATTACACATAACAATTAGGACCCTGGAATTACAGACTTTTCTTGAGAGGCAAACTTTGCCCTGAAGGTCACAGTTTTTGCACAGAACACAACAGTCTTCAGATCTCATTTCTTCCATGCAAAATTAGTTAAAAATAGAATTTAAAAAAAAAAAAAAATACATAAATATCAGAGATCCTCTCAGCATGTATTTTTTTCTTGGAAGCTCAAAACCTGAAAATCACTGAATCCAAGAAGGGATATACATTCCACCATGTAATGAAACATGTTTGGAAATTACTAAAGAAATTATTTTCTGCAGAGATCTACACCAAAAGTAAAAGTACAACATTCCTTTCAGCTGCAAAGTAGGCTTTCAAATTTTGCTTTATGCTTGTTCTGAGTAAGCTTTAATGGCAGTATTGGAACAAATATAATCTTGACTTTTAATATTATTGCATATATATAAAACGGCATGTGCAAAAGAGATCTGGCAAAACTTGGAAAGCTCTATTCATGCCTTGCTCAACCACACACTGACAAAATGACCTTGAGAAAGTCACTTCACTTTTCTTTGTTTTTTCCCCCAAAAAGTCCGAGGATCTTCCAAAGATGAGTCTTCCAAATGAGTCTGATAATGAGTTATACTTCATACCAAAATATATTTACTAAAGAAGTGCTAGTAAATAGTGAATTAACTATTATGGAGTCTAACAAGTCATTAATTTGCAAACTGTCCAAAATACCTCTTCTTTATGAGTTTACCAAAATCTATAATGTGTACTGTTACATTTGTGTCATGACAGCATTAATAATCAAACAATTAATAGATATTCCAGTGTACTGTAAATGCTTACTACAACCTGTAGAATTAATTCATTATCCACTGTAACACACACCTGTGACACAAAAGATGATTTTTTTTCTCAAGGTATGTTGAAACCTATGAGGAAAAACCACTGGAGTTCTGAATCTTAGCAATACTATTATTCTGTCTACAGCATACCAAATATTTACTATAGAGTCCAGTAGAGAAGCAAAATTAATTTCAGAGCAAAGACTGTGATTGTAATTCTTCAAACAACTAGAGTAACAGAAATTAGTGCTTGTCTGATTTGATTACCAGATAGTTTCTGGTTTTGTTCTGTTGCTCTAAGGATCTGAAACTTGTGTGAAATAAACAAATCTCTGATGAGGAACCAAATTCTGCAGTATTGGTGCTTGAATTGTTTCCCTTCTCCCTGATTCCTCATACTCCACTATTTCCCAGTGATCTTTGCCTTCTCCAGTACCTCAGAGTGGCCACTAGTGAAGTCAATGAAGCATTGAAAATTGGAAAAAAACATATTAACCTTAGGTTATTTGCCTTCACCAGGGCAATTTTTAATGTGTTAGAAGACATTCAGTTAACATATACACTTTCATTATTAGTTCAGTCAACAGGGAATGTCAAAATTATAACATGCCTGGCCAAACACATGTAGAAGAGGAAACCAGTCAGTGCAGACTAGGGAGACTGTCTGCCTTGGTTAACCTCGCTTGTCGGCTATTTCTCCACATCTCTCGTGCTCTCTCGCTGCAACTTAATTCTGCTCCTCTAGTTTTCCCTCCCTTGGTTTCCCCTCTCCCTTTTTATTCCTTTAGCTGCTGCTTCTTGTTTCTTAAACAATCTACCTGAGACAGTAAGTCCTACCCTTTACTCTGGCTCCTTGCTGCTAGTCTCCACACCTACATTTCTCTACCTCCATTTTCAAAAATTTACCATTGCTCAATCGACCCTTCTTATATTCCTGTTCTATCCTTCTGCCTGGTCCACCCCCCTTTCTTCTCTTCACATCAGAAGGGAACATACACTGCAGCTGGGAGATACACTTTAAATGCTTCCCACAGACCTATTAAATCCCAGCATCCACACATTCTGGATGCCCCTGCCTGACTCTCTGCAGATTCAGTCTCTTACAGAGACCTCTATTCTCTCCATCCCATCCCACCCCTTACCCTCACACTGAGGCTACCCTCACCATCCCCATCACATCTGGTTGCTTTTGAGCAATATTTCAGCTCTTTTCTCCTCTGAAGAACTGCCAGCCAGCCAGCCAGCTCTTCCCGATCAGCTTTCTGTGATTTCAACTTTCTTCCCTTCCTCACAATTTCTCACACTCATCCTCAGGAAGCTTCCAGGCTTCCTGCTGACACCCTTGGTGGCACTCTGTAGCAGTCACCTGTATGTCTCCTTGCCTTGGCCCATTCATTTCACCTGATAAGTGTTCTCTCACTAAGTGTTCTGTTCTCTGAAAGAACCATTCTTTTGATATGGTCAAAGCAAGAACTGCTTTCCCCTTACCTCTGTTATCCCATCCTCCTCTCTGATCTTTTCCCTTGCCTGCCACATCCTTCCTCATATCCTTTCACTTGCTCTTTCCATCTCATCTCTTATTTTCATCTCATCAGACTGAGAATATCCCATCTAACCTCAGCCCACGTCCTCCTTCTCTATCTTCCTTTTCTAGCACAAACTGACTGTAGACTTGCTCTGTTTCTTACACTCTACTGTCTCATGAATTATGAAGTATGATGGCCAAACACATAGCTCAGTCTGCCTTCAGCTTCAAAGTCCTGGCTGATCTGTGATCAGGTTTACTTCATCCACAACCATTTAATTGTCTCCCTTTCCAGTTATGCCATCCTTATACATTTTCTTCCTACTTTTCCAAGTTAAATGAAGACCTGCACTTTTCCAATGCTCTCTTCCAAACCCTTGCCATAGGAAATATTAATATGCTTACTTCCTACAAGTTTATTCCTTGTGTCACAGGTTGGGTATTTTTCCCTCCTGCTTGTATGTCCCGTGCTTGTCCTGTTAAAACAGAGCTCCTGATCTGTTTCATATTAATTTTTATCCACTTCCTCAGGTTTTTCTCTGAAATGTTGACTGTCCTCCAACTCCTCCTTCTCAAATTACAGACATGCTGTAATAATTAAACAAACACACCTTATGTTGACTCTTACTGCTATTTCCAGCACTAAAACCTCTCTTCTCAATGTGCTGCTTGCACTTACTGTCCAATTTTCCCTCTCTCCAGCTCAATGTAGGATCCTATGACAGGTAACACCAACACCCAGCTAAAATAACCCTAGTTAATACCTGCCCAAAACAGACTCAAAGCTCACACAGTACTTTGTCCTTCTTGATCATCTTTGTCATCACCAACCTCATTACTCCTCTTCAACTCTTATACTCAATTAGCTCTCTTCTGGCTCTCTTACTCTTCTCGACCTTCCAATATACATCAATCTTAAAAATGAGAACTTACTACAGCCCCAGAAATCGTTCCTAAAAAAACCAACATATTTCTTCTTGGCATCTTTCCAATACACTGTCTACTCACCATTGTCTAGGCTGGGAGTCAGGATGTTGTGACTGACTCCTTGTGCTCCCCCTTGTGTCTGCCATCAGACTCGGACTGCTGACTTTTCATGAAAAGCTTTTTCATTTTGTGTCTGGCCTAGCCTCAGTGCTAGGGTTTGTGTCTTGGTTATATAAGCAAACAAGGCTATGCACTACTTTGAAAAAGTTGATTTCCTGTAGTGTTTCAAGTGGGCTACTCACACACCAAAGCACAATGCAGTCAGTCACTAATATCTCTCAAAAAATGTAGATCTAGGTTATTTTTAGCTCAGAATTTTTAAGAACAAAATTCAGTGTCTTTATGTCAGCAGTGCGAGCATCCACAAACTCACCCTAGAAAGAAAAATAATCCATCCAAAGCTGCAAAGATCTAAGGAAGATGAAGCTTGAAAGACTGCTTTTAATAATTCAGAGACTGCATTTGCAGAACTGTTTTAACCATTTCTCTAGGAAAGTATCAGAATATTGACAGTGAACACTAACTGTATAAAAAGCCAAAGGTTCTTCAGCTTTTTTTTATGACATTTTTAGTTAGTACTGGAAATGCTTATCCTCAAGGTACTGGAGTTAGCAGTAAATTCCTTACAGGATATGTTTGAATTTCTACACTAAATAGCAAACTGCCACTTATCATCAGACATGAAAAATCCAAGTCAGGTATTTGAAGCAAAAATCAAACAAATGAAGAACAACTCTCAAAGTAGCCAACATACATCCTGGTCCACCCTGCTTTTATTAAAACTGTTTGGAAACAAAGTCTCTCTTGGAAATAGATATCTGGGCTCAGAGAAGGGAGAGCTGAAGCAGAAGAAGTGGCAACTCACTTGCTAAGCAGTCCTTTTTTTAAGTACTGGCAGTTATGGGTAAACAACAGTAGTGCTATAGATTAAACAATATCTGTGGATGTGATGATGATACCCAGCAATAACTTCAAAAACTAACTGGAATTCTTGTGATAAAGACTTTATTAAAACATCATTAAACTCCCCAACAATTTAAATTACCTAAAAAATAATTAACTCCCCCACGAATTTAAATCAAAGATGGTAGGGAAGGGGCTGGCAAACAATCCTTTCAGGCTAGACCCCCAGACCACTCTTACTTCAGGCCCCCCACTGCCTTTCCTCCCCAGCAGCATCTCACCACCACTCTCCCATCTCCCACTCACCATACACCAGTCAGAAGAGCTGACACCTGAGTGCACACCTTGTCAATCTGGGTAGTCAGGCAGCAGCTGTGAGCATCACTAGCCGGGGGGGTCTGTGTGAAACCAGCAGCAGGAGCCTGGGGGTGTTAAAGGGGTGTTTGCTTTCCCATGAAAAGAGGAGACACCAGACCTAATGAGCAAAGTATAAGAAAAATAAAGGAAAGGTCAAAGGTAGCAGGCAGCCACATGTGTTAAACAAAACTCCCTTCAACTCAGTCTAATTCTAGGGGTCCCCTATGCAAAAGCACCTGCTTTTGCTCCTTGTGTGGGAAAATATCTCCTTGTGGGGGGTGGCTCTCCTCCCCTTTCTTACAAGCTGGGGAAAGGCTCCATCTTCTCAGGAGACCAAGGAACAAAGGGTGCTTCTGGAAATCACAGCTGACATCCATTTCTCACACTGGAGGCTCATGAGAAGAGACCTCAACAGACCTAAGAGCAGCAGAGGGCAAGAGAGACAGGGGATCAAATGTACTATCCCATTGATTAATGCTAACAAACACACTGGTGAGAAGAGATGTGCTGCCCTGTCAAGAACGCCGCTTTGTGAGACAGCCAAGATTTAGCATCTACATTAAGATGAATTCTATTCTCATTACTGATACCATATTACCAAATCAAAAGAGACCCTTACAGGTTCTTTGGTAGAGCATTTTTCCTAATAGCTCTTTAGGGCAAACTCCTTAGTATGCATCTATACCTTGCTGCATTGCCTTTTGCGTAAGTATTCCACACAAGTCACCCAACAACCAACAATGAATCATAAGCTCCTGCTTTCTTATAGGGGTCCGCCAGACAGAACAGATGAGAAACTAATGGGGGAAGCCATTTAATCTTCACTTTATACTCAAACATTCTTCTAAGAGTCAGACGCTGCATAAAGGCAGAGCTTCACTGCAGCCTTTACTCTTTCTCAGTTAGTGCGAGTCAAGCAGCTTCAGCACGCCTGGGCATGTGCTTCCCACGGTCTCCTCCCTTCCCTCCCTCTCTCTCTTTCTGAAGAGGGGATTGCCTGTGGGTCTTGCGAGGGTCTGACCTTGCAGGGGTGAAATGAGGGTACAATGCAGAAAGGCATGTTGTCTCCTCCTCGGGAAAGCCGAGTCCCAGAGCATGCTGGGGTATTTAAAGACCTCAATGCCTGCAAGTTCCACGCGGTGCGTACAGCATGAAGCAGCTCTCTGGCCTCGACTCAAGAGAGGTCCAGTCCTGGTCACTGATGCCTATAAACACAGCACCACCTTCCAGGCTGGCAGTGCATCCCTGGGGAGCTTTGTTGTTGGGCACGACATCCATGTCGCCCCCCTCTGCGTGAGCCCACGCACACGAGGGCAAGGCTTAATGCACTCTCAGCTGGCCGGTGGCACTGTCAGACCGCTCCGGGGAGGCTTTCAGCCCTCAGCCGCTGCCTCTCGGCCGCACGGAACGCTTAGTACGGCCTGAACCGCTCCTGCCAGCTCCCCATGCTCCCTCCGGTGCCTCCCGGGAGCTATAAATACAGCGGGCACATGCTCTGACACCGCGGTTCCCAGCAGGCACCAGATAACTTTAATTTGCCCTTTAAACGTCCCGGGCCCGCGTCCCTCGCGGCCGCCGCTCGGGCGAACATGGCNCGCCACAGGTGGTGCCGGCGCGGCGGGCGCTGCTCGCCGTGACTAAATATGGGAAGGAGCTCGGCCGGCTCCGGTTACGCGGGAGCTGCCCGGGACGTTCAGCACCGCCTCGGAGCAGCGGGAGCAGGGCCGGCCCCGTCCGTGCCCTTCAGCGTGTGGGGTCACCCCTGCAGTGCCCCTCTCTCACCGTGCCGCCCTCCTCTTTCTCCTCCGTGCAGGTCCAGCATGCCAGCAAACAGATCACCGCCGATAAGCAGTACAAGGGCATCGTGGACTGCATAGTCCGCATCCCCAAGGAGCAGGGCATCGCCTCCTTCTGGAGAGGCAACTTGGCCAATGTCATCCGGTACTTCCCCACCCAGGCCCTTAACTTCGCCTTCAAGGACAAGTACAAGCAGATCTTCCTGGGCGGAGTGGACAGGCACAAGCAGTTCTGGCGCTACTTCGCAGGGAACCTTGCGTCCGGGGGTGCCGCCGGAGCCACCTCCCTCTGCTTCGTCTACCCGCTGGATTTCGCCAGGACCCGGCTGGCGGCTGATGTGGGCAAAGGAGCCACCGAGAGGGAGTTCTCTGGCCTGGGCGACTGCATTGTCAAGATCTTTAAGTCTGATGGCTTGAAGGGCCTGTACCAAGGATTTAGTGTGTCTGTCCAGGGCATCATCATCTACAGAGCAGCCTATTTTGGGGTATACGACACGGCCAAGGGTAAGAAGTGCATGGAAGAGTGACTGCAAGGGAAGATCCATTCAGTAAAGGCACTCCAGGGCACTTGGCAATACAAGGACAAGCAGGGCTTGGCTCAGCACCAGTTGAGTGCAGTGCTAGAAATGTGCACAGGTGTTTCTGACATGCATTTTTGCCTCCCCTACTTGCTGCTCTGAGACACCTTGGGTTTGGATTGACTCCGGGGTTGGTGGGTGATTATTCCTTCCACAGCCCTTTCCTTCTGTACTGATTCCGTTCATTTGTTCTTGATGACAGGTATGTTGCCTGATCCAAAGAATGTGCACATCGTAGTGAGCTGGATGATTGCCCAGAGTGTCACTGCAGTGGCAGGGCTGGTTTCTTATCCTTTTGATACTGTGCGACGTAGGATGATGATGCAGTCTGGCCGAAAGGGAGGTAAGAATAAGTGCTCCTGTGGTGTTCTGGCTGCAGAAAGTTTCTCTCCATCAACATAAGATAGGAGATACTGGGTATTTTTTTCGTTTTATGGAAAATTAATAACCTTCTCATTAGAGTCCTTAAAAAAAACCTGTGGGGAACATGCTGCTTATTTCTATCATGTTGATCTAAAGGAATGAGAGATTACTTCATTTCCTATAGAAAATTAATTTTCCTTAATTGATTACTAGATTTTAAATCCTCAGCTGTACTTTGCTAATTCCTTGTTGTTTTAAGGATACAACAGTTGAAACATACTTGCTTTATAACTTCAAGCCTTCTAACGTTTATGTTTGTTTCCACAGCGGATATTATGTATAAGGGCACAATTGATTGCTGGAGGAAGATAGCTAAAGATGAAGGATCCAAAGCGTTCTTCAAAGGTGCCTGGTCGAATGTGTTGAGAGGCATGGGCGGAGCTTTTGTATTAGTACTTTACGATGAAATCAAGAAGTATGTCTAAAACTTAACATCATAATGCAGTAGTTCAATTGTTCTCAATCAACTTTTTTAAAAATACGAACTTGTGATGTAATGGACAACAAAATATTTCCTAGGGAAACAGAATAAAACTTGAGTAGCATATGTGGCAGAGATAAAGATGCATTAATTTAAAAACTGTCCACAACATCACAGTTACATTTTCTATGAGAATTCCTCCACCATTTGTATTGGAACCTGTGTATATATTATACTTCAAATTGCAGGTAATAGATTTTGTCTAAAGACAAAATATAAGTGGTCTATACCTTGTCTAAAATCTAATATTGTGAATTCTTAATAGACTGTCATAAATATTTATTATACTAAGTAATATCTCTAGCTACCCAACACTGTGATGACATAACATGAATTAAAATCATGTTTTCTTCTACAGCTCTATTTTTTAATATAATATTAAGTGAAAAGGATGTCTGAAATAATAAACTATACTAAAGCACCGGGCTGAGTTCCTAATTGCAGCCTCTTCCCTGACAAACTATACAGTAATATGCTTGAAACCATAATCTGATTTTTCCAACATACTTTGTAAAATATGGAAATACAGTGTTTCAAAAATTCCCTGTATTGTCACAAAGGAAAAAGTTGTCTGCTCTGATGTTCAATTGAACTAAAACTGAAATAAATTAATATATTAATGAATTTTTCCCTGTTGTTTTCAGTACACTGAACACCTTACAAGCACATCCTCCAAGGTGATGTGCTAATCAGGACACAGTTAGTGGCTCTCTCTTGAAAACTTTTTCAACAGAGCTTTAGGTAGGTGAAGTTATTGAGATTATTGATAATTCTACAACTGCAAAACCAAGTGGATTCAGTTTAAGGGTACTGCAGCCAGAGATTTTGGGGATAAGCTTCCACCAATCTTAGCTGCTTGTATAATTTGTTTATATTACCCTTTGAAGCATCTCCTCATTTGAAGAGTGAAGTCATTACTGCTTATTTTACTTGAAAAATTATTCTAGATTTGACTACTCAAGAGTTATTAAAATAACTACACATTGAACCATTATGAACACATTGCACAATTAATTACCTGTGAGATCAAGACATGCTTACTTTTTAAATATATAATACACTTTTTAAACTTTAGATGCTGCAGGGTTGTGAATGCATGGAAAAACAGGCTGATTAGGCAAAGGAGGGAAAGTGAGGTGTGGCCATTGCAGTTGTTCAGTTAGATTGCATATAAGCAAGCATTTGCTATGTATCCACTTAGGACAAAAACCATAGAATCAGAGCGTAGTTTGTATTGGAAGAGACATTAGATACCAACTCCTGGGCCATGAACAGGGACATTGTCTACTAGACTCAGTTCCTGGCCTTGGACACTTCCATGGTTTGAGTGTCCACAACTTCTCTGGGCAACCTGGGCAAAGGGGTAAGGCTAAGCAAGTAATAATCAAATAAACTTAGCTCACCTTCATCTTTTACTACTTCATATGTATGGCTTCAAGTTATCCTTTTCCTATATTTGAAACATTTGTCAGATGCAGGTAAGTCCTAGCTCACCGTCACTTGGCATGAGAGGCTCTGGTTGTCTGGCACAGATTCAGACTAGCAGCTCTGTTCTTCCTGAAGGCATGTACCAGCCACTAACCAGTGTCTGGAAGCAACATCACTTGAAAAAAAGAAGCATTTTGGAAATACAGGTCCAAAAAATGACAGGCTCTTTTAAAATTAACCAAATACAGATTTATTTTTTTTTTGTCCCAGGACAAAACCTGGCCTGATTGTTTAATCTCCTTTTTTCATGGTTGCTCTCTTAAATATTTGCTTTTATAGATACCTGGTCTGTTTCCTTTCCCATAGCAAACAACCAGGGTTGCAATCTATCAAACCATAAGTTTATGAAGAAAACATGTCTATTGGTTTTCAAACTGCATTAGTTTTCCTTAAAAACTCTGCCAGTTTCTGCTCCTTCTTTTTCTCCTTCCTCTGCACTCCCCTAATGACTCTGTACAAGAAGCTTGCTAACGCTATCCAGTTCTCATTTAGCTCACTGGTAAGGCAGCAAGTGGCATTTGGATGTATGAGGGAAGATCTAAGTTGGCTACAGCAAGACACTGTAATAGGCAGAGGCACAAAACCTTGGAGGAAATGAATAACGTAATTAAGAGGAAGCAAAGAAAATATAAATAAGTGTAAATGAAAGAAGTTACATTCCAGAGAAGGTGAAATGGAGAGACTAAGGACTATTAAAACGGAGAGTAAAGAGTATCAATGCAGGAAAATGCCACTGGGCTAAGAAAAAGTACATGAAATAAAGCATATGGAAAACAGGTAAATAGCTTGTTTCTACTTAAAAGCCACTGCACACAATGTGGGAGATTGCAGGTAGTATAAAGATATCTGTGGTCAGAGTTCAAAACTGTGAATGAATTAACCATGCTTCTGAAAGCAGCTCTGCAACACTCAGCACACTTGCTGAAAGTGCAACCTAAAATGCAGCCATCAGCTCTGACAGACTGGAAATTAGAAGACTTTGCAGATGGTCTGCAATTGCTACTTGAACTCCCACTATCACAATCAATTAATACTACTTTTGTTCCTTTGCAAGAGCTGGTCACAGGCAAACTAAAGCCAGTGACAAAACCATTATTCCCTTACATCTAACACTCGAACAATGGAAAACCTGCATTTTTTCTGATTTTCTATGTGCCAAGCAATTCAACCTTCTTTGCATCTTAATACCAACCAATCAAAAATCTGAAAGAAGCCACTGCAATGACAATTCATGTTAAATATTTTATTTCTTATGATTTACAGATGACATAGAAAATTGACACTCTTTCATACCAAAGTTAAATAAGATGAAGCAATTAAAAGTAATCCATTGCATAAGTTTCCTCACAGAAAAAAAACTGTAATATGAACATTCAGAAGTATTTAAACAGTTACTCTGATATTCACATTCAAGGACAAAAATCTTTAAATAGAGAATAATTTTAGTTAGTACAATAATAGAAATAAATACAGCAGCACTATACAAAGAAATTGTTAACAGTTCCTAACCATGAATAATAACTGCAATACAAATCTGTTTGCCACAATGCTGCTTAAAGTTAAAAGTTCCAAGTATTGTCGAACAGCTAATTTTGATCTGCGGGTCACCAAGTGAAGAAGCTCTGCCAAACTATCACAAGGACCGAGTAAAAAGTGGGTTACAATGCAGAATACCTGAAAGCCTAAGCCCTCATGCAAGCACTAACAAAGAACAATACACTTTTCATGTCAAAGACCCAGCATTACCAAATACAGCTTTTTTTCTTTATCCATAATACAGCAATGTCCTTCCTGGGAAGAAGCTGGGGAAGCAAGCAAAGTT